GCCACCCTCCCCCTAGGAACATGCCCACGCCGCCGAAGAATTTTCCCCACATCGTCGGCGTCAGAGAGGACCGCTGGCGGGACTGGGAAAAAAGGTCATGTCGCCGGGCCGGAGAAGGGAGCTGGTGCCCGCGACGACGGTAGTTAGTGGCAATTTTTTATTATTTTAATTGATAAATATAATAAACATTTAATTACTATACTGCCCCTCATTAAATTGAATTAATAGGAACCATTGGATTTTAATGAGGTTGAGTGGCTGAGATTCACTTAGCTGATCTTAGCCTACCCCCGACCATTACCCAGAACAGTAAACTCTTCCTTCCCATCCTGTAAACACACTCTCTCCCTCTCCCTCACAATTTTTTAGCTCAATTTTCAGCTTGGCTCTCCGGTCACTGTCCTCCGCGGCCGCTGACCATCAATTCAAATCTCGACAACAAAGTTTCACAACCGAATTTCGATAATGCAGCTTATAATAAACTGTAGTGTTCCACCATATATAAACCCATTACAACAGCAAGCAAAATATCATTGAACTGTTTGCAGTAATCAACAATAAAAATCCAAATTTCATTGTTCTTCTTTCTCTGCAGAGAAATACCAAATTATTCAATGGGGGAGTTCTGAAATACCCAGACAACAGGATTCTCTAAAGATTCGGACTTTGAAGCTAAAAAACCTTCAAGACAAAGAAGAGATCCCCCCCCCCCCCCCCCCCCCCTTTCTATGACGAACATGCGCAATAACAGCGACAAAAGACATGCCGAGAGGGAGAGCATCGACGTCCAAGTTCTCCCACGATTGTCATCCCCTCGACTTAATTTCTTCTTCTTCTTCGTTGTCTTATTGTAACTTATTCTGATTGGATTGCCGTTCTCGAGGGGGTGTGGAGGAGTTGGGATCACCGGAGTAGAGAGAGGGAGAGTGTGTTTACGGGATGCGGAACAGCGGAAGGAAGATTTATTCTTCTGGGTAATGGTCGGGTGGTTGGTTTGGTTAGGGATTGCTGGTTGGTTTTACTATTTGTTTATCAATTTATTTGTGGTGTTGACTGTACCCGTTTAACATATTTTTGGACAGAATTGGAAGGGATGCCTAATTTGGTATTCATCCAAACTTATTTTACTAAATATGTGCAAAATTGAACTTTAGTTACCATTTTGTATATAATAACTAGTTGTGTGACCGTTTATACTAATTAAGTGTAGACTGTAGACATACCACTTAAGTTTGAATAGGGTATCGTGTACCATTAAAGTCGACAAAATGTGCATCCGTCTACTTTTCCATCCAACCAAAACTTTTAATTACTTTTTGGTACCCACTTTTTTTTTAAACCATTCAAAACTATATTTCCACAAGTTTTATCTAATATAAAAATTAGAAAACCTTCTAAGCATATTATTACTAAAATGGCTAATAAATTTTTTTCATAAAATAGATAAAATAGTAAAAATATTAAATGAATATTAAGAAAAATAATATATACACTAGAACATAATAATAAATATTTAAAATCAATACTATAATATCTATTTAAACACCCTAATTCAATTAGAAGCACCATTAGAAATAGTTAAAATAAAACCTAATCGATCATCATTACATCAAAATCAAAGAAAGATAAATGACACAATCATAAGGAATAAAACATATTCTAGTAATTGAAAAAACATTTAGAACGAAAGAGAGATGGAAAGTAACCAAGTAATAAATGATCTATAAAGCTACAACATTTAGTAAAAAATGTAGAAAATACAATATGATTATAGGAAGAGAATTAGAATTACTAAATTTAATTAATATGAAACATCTACAATATAATATTAGAGAATTAAAAGGAGATTTAACATAGAAAATTGGACAACATCACCATGGTCTAAGAGAACTAAATATAACATTCTTATATTATTTATATCGACATACAATTCATAATATATTTGTTTCTAGAAATTATTCAATTATAAGAACACGTAATGATAATTGAAAATACTTATAATGATAATTGATTCCAAATTTTCTATTGAAAAATTGTTTGTTATCAAGTATTCAAAAGAGGATTCCAATTAAATAATAAAAATATGTTTTCCATAAGTCCAAATGGTTTTTTTACAATAAGATAAGTAGAATGACCGATTATGAAATTTAGAAAACGGAACATTCTAGAAATATTCTATCAACTTTAACGCAATATAGAAACCGTTTTGCATCCCTTGTCAGCGACTTCTCCAATATAATGTAGCTTTCTCTCTACCCTCTCTTTCTCTTTCTTCTCACCAGCTGTCGCTTTCGAAGCATTCAATATTCAGCACGTTGACAAACGCATATCACACAAGGAAATCGATGCAGATCGACGAGGTCAGAAGGTGATTAAGAGGACCAAGGAAGATCAGGGGAGCATTTATGGTAGAAGTAAATCCAGGACAGGGTTACCCCCCACCGCTGCTATTAACTTCAAATGGAGGCGTGCCAGATTCATACTGTGCCTGACCAAATCTGGCCAATTGCAGCCAAAGCCACCTGATCAGCTACCCAGTAATGAATTGGGAGGAGGGAGAGGAACCCTGGAGACACCAGACAGGAAGAGAGTTAAGAAGAAGCGGGGAGAGGGAGAACTTAAAGGCCATAAACAGGAGGCGCAGCAGGAAGGAGATCCAACCATTAACTCCTCACAAAGAGCTCACCTGAAGAAGATCTGGGAGATAGATTTGCCAATCATTATCGCTAAGCCTACCTACACCCTGTCAACCAGGCACGAGGCTCAGAAGATCAGTAAGGAGAAGATAGAGACTCAGCGAGCCAGGACAGAGCATCTGGGCAGGTGCCTGGGAATAACTACAACTAGTAAGAGGAAACCACCTGAGCAGAGTAGCACCTCCCATAAATGGCAATTAATAGGTAACCAGGAGAAGATCCAAAAAGAGAGAGGAGACTCTCAACTACCTCATTTATTATTGGAGGCAGTAAAGACTGATAAGGGGTGGAATGATCAAGAAAGGCAGGTTGAGGGACACTATAAAAAGACCAAGCAACATGCAGAATCGGGCCAGCTTACCCCCAAGAACAGCAAAAACAAATCCAAAGATCCAAAAGATACCCAGGTGGATCCAAAGAGCAACTGTGCCAACCCATCTCCTAGCCCTTCCAGCACCCCAAAAATGGAACTGAATGCGTCGATTTCAAGAGGAATGAAGAACCACCTGGTCCTCAATGTCAGGCCAAGAGTGGTGGGTTCCAGAGACAGTGGCATCCCCATGCTTCTCCGCATATAGATCACGGATACAAGCATCAATCTACACAAGGCCAAAAACACAGCATCCTACAAGTGGAGAGCCTATGGAGAAGTCCAAGCTACCAAAGAGGCGGACAACCTATTTGTTTACTCCTTTCCAACAATGAAGCAGAGGGATGCTGTTTGGGAGGGATTGCCATGAGGAAGTGGGACGGCGAACAGAAGGCTGAATTGGAAGACATCAACACAATCACTCTGTGGGTGCAGATGCATGACCTCCCCCAATCACTCAAGGACGAAGAATCCATTCAAGCAGTGTCCGAATTCATATTCCCTTAGTACCATGAAATTGACAACTCTAACTTCGAATTCAGAGGATGGCTGAAGTTCGTTAGAGTGAAAGTGAAAGTCCAACTGGATAAGCCTATCCTCATAGGTTTTGAGTGCCCATTGGGAGAAAGATCAACCTGGGTTAGCTTCAATTACGAGAGGATCACTGACCTGTGTTACATCTGTGGCAGACTGGGCCATCTAATCCAAAATTTCCTTGAACGAGAAGATTATCGAAGAAGGGGACTCTGCACAGATCCCTCGGAAGTCTACACGGCGCCGCTCAAAGCTGGTCACGACTCACCGGAAAATATCCCCCCGGCGTCTATCCGGGAGAAACAGGAAAGACTCAGGCAAAGCACACAGATCGAGCAAAGGTCCCGCAACAAGACAGTATCCCGAGGAGAATCGTCCTTACTGACACTCGTGGGCCATCCAGTCCAGACCCATGTCTCTTTCCCACCTGGCTTCGTGGCCCTGCCGATGGAGAACCTAGGAACCATCAGAGGAGCGACTAGATACTTAGAGGAGAGGGGAGCTGCCCCACCAACCTTTCACAAGTATCGATGCTACAAGTGGAGCTGGCGGCAGCAGCAATGCAGAGAGGGTTGGATCTTTCGGGCAGGAAGGAGACGAGGGAGAAGCAGGAGAGCTGTTGGAGATGGGCCAGTCTCTCACGCTTAGGGATGGCAACAAAACCCGAACCCACGGGTACCCATCCGACCCAACACGGTCAACGCGGGTAAAACCCGTGTTGACGGGTTTTGGGCCGGGTTCGGGTTTAAACCCGCTACACTATTCACCGGGTCGGGTTGGGTTTGGGTTTAGGTAAACCCGCCCCATGGGTACCCGCTCACACACATATAATTACTTTCCTGGTATATTTAATATTCTAAATAATATATCTTCCTTAAACAACTAATATTCTTTATGTTTGTGGAGACATGTATAATTTGTTCTTTTTAATTGTTTAGAATGAAGTTGATATTATGAAGTGGAGAGTGAAGAAACTTAGTTGACGAGGAAGAAACTTTCAATCAATCTTATTGTTTATAGATGTTTATCTTTAATTTTGAACAATTTGTATTGATTATTTGCGGTTTGCTTGTCCACTCTAGATTGGTGTTTTTTGTATGATTAATTTCTATGAGAAAATTGATGTTAAACTTTTATTTTGAATGAAACTTGTTATTGTAAATTTTTTATCACAAAAACCCACGGGTACCCATGAACCCGCGGATACCCAGCGGGTTGGGTTGGGTTTGAGTTTTTCAAACTCAACGGGTTTTACCCCGGGTTTTTTTTGGCGGATAAACCCATGGGTTTGGGTTTGGGTTTGACAAAACCCGCCCCAACCCGACCCATTGCCATCCCTACTCACGCTGGCCAGCCCAACCTTACCATTTCAAGAAACAGGCCAGGTCCAAGGCTTTGAAGAACAAGTACCAGAAGGGGAGGCCCAAATGGCCCAGTTTATCCATCAACAGCCTGCCGGGGTTCTAAACCAAATGACCCAACTCACCCAACAGCCTCCAGGCCTGCAGAACCCAGTTGAAGCGGAGGAGTTTGCAAACAGACCAGAGAAGAAGAGGAAACTAGAACACCGAATCAATCAGTCCGAATCAACCCCAATGCAAAATTTGGCTAACAATTTGTCTGTTGATTCTTTATCCTTTACTACAGGGAGAGATATCAGGAGGTATGCAAGGAAAAAGCACACAATTCAGAGGAGGAGTATCAGGGAGATCAATGAGGACGGGAACCAGTCAGGCGAGGGAGAATCCAATTTCCCGATGGCGACGGCAGCAGGCCACAAGCCACCTTCCTAACCATGAGGATCATCAGCTGGAATTGTAGGGGGTTTGGCCAGCCCCTTACAAGAGGCTGTTGTGGCAGATTTTGCCGTAAATATGGCCCCTCAGTGGTGTTCCTCATGGAAACCAGGAAAGTTGACTAGTTCATGGAAGGGAAGAAGAGGGCACTGAGGATGGACCACTCAAAATACGTCAGTCCGTCAGTAGAAGGTAGTGGCTTGGCGCTCTAGTGGAAAGAAGGAGTGGATTTATGTGTTCTTGATGTTTGTAAGTCCTACATGGACACTAGGATCAGTAGGGATGGTGTCACTTTCTTTTGTACCTTCATCCATGCTCCAACCACGGCGGTGGAGAGAAGAGCCCTTTGGGATCGACTTACGAACCTAAGGGAAGCTCAGGATGAGAAGTGACTTATTTTGGGTGACTTGAATGTTGCTCTGTTTCCGTTTGAGAAGTAGGGGCGCTGCCCCCTCAGAAATGAAAATGTGGCTCCTTTTAAGTATTTTATTGAGCAGAATGCACTCATGGATTTGGGTTTCTCGGGTCAGACCTTCACTTGGACTAACAAGCAGCAGGGCAACAACCTTATCAGAGAGAGGCTTGATCGGGCACTCTGCTCGCCCTCGTGGCGGATGAGTTTTGAGTCAGTAGTGGTTTTTCATGAAGATTTTGTCGAATCGGATCACTGCCCGATAAGACTTGATCTTCATCCCAAGCATCAAGCTAGACATACCCCATTCAGATTCGACAAGAGATGGAGGGATAATGATGAGTGCTGTCACATAATCACCAACAGATGGAGTAGAGGGGGGCAGGTTAGTGAGAAATTGAAAGATTGCCAGAAGGATCTTCAGAACTGGGCAAGAATTGACCACAACAACAAAATCAGAAGAGAATAAGAAATTAAAGCAAGAATCCAAGTTTTACAAGGCCCAAACAGGACCAACGAGATGATCAACGAAGAAAAGAGTCTTAATTTGGAACTCTCTATGATCTGGAACACAGAGGAGGAATTCTGGGCACAAACTTCACGGAACTGCTGGTTGCAAGAAGGTGATCAAAACACAGGGTTCTTCCACGCCAATACCATCAAAAGGAGGAATAGGAACAAGATTCTCAAACTGAAGAACTCCGAAGGAATCTGGCTTGAGGAAAAACTGGACATGGACACTCATGTCAACGCTCTCTATCGTGACTTGTTCACTAGCAAGGAAGGCCTTTTCGACTACTCTCTCTTGGATGGCTTCCCACAGCTGGGAGCTAACAAAGCCACTAAACCTGATGGCTTCCAGGGTTTCTTCTTTAGGAAATTCTGGAACCTGATCGGGGACCAGCTTTGTGAATAGATCACCTGCTTCTTCAGGACCAATGTGATGCCGGAGTCGTGGAATGATACTTTTATCACCATTATCCCAAAAGTGGAGACCCTAGAGACGATTGGCCAATTTCGGCCAATCAGCTAGTGCAATTTCAAGTACAAAGTCATAACAAAAATCATGACAAACAGACTGCAAAGATGGCTCCCAGGTCTGGTGAACGAGCTCTAGTCAGCCTTTACCCGAGGGAGGCAAATCCAAGACAACATTATCATCGTCCATGAAGTTCTTAACCATTTCAAGAAAAATCGAGCTGGCAGTCGTAAAGATATGATGATGAAGCTGGATATGCGAAAAGCCTATGACCTTGTCGAATGGGACTTTCTCCTGGAACTATTAAGAGCATATGGGTTTAATGATGTATGGTGTAATTGGGTTAAAGTCTGTACACAACGGTCAAGTTCCGGCTCCTGTTGAAAGGTGAACCTTCTTCTGAATTCATCCCATCTCGAGGACTGAGACAAGGAGACCCGGTGTCTCCTCTTTTGTTTATCCTCATGTCCAATGCCCTCTCCTTCCTCATTGAAAAAGCGGTGCAGCATCAGGAGATTAGAGGACTCAAGCTGAACAGATTCTGCCCATTGCTCACCCACTGCCTTTTTGCGGATGATACAGTGATTTTCGGAGATGCCTCAATTCTGGAAGCACAGACTATTTTGAAGACTCTGGACTCGTATGGAACAATCACGGGACAGGAGGTTAACCGGGAAAAGTATCCAGCTTTCTTCAGCCAGAATGTGATTGAAGAGGAGAAGGGAAGTATTATTCAGTCTATTGGGTTCGACTGTTCCAGTGCTCACTCGAAGTACCTGGGAGTGCCAACAGAATGGGGCAGATCCAAGAGAGAAACATTCCAGTTCCTTATCCAAAGACTGGAGAAACAAGGTGAAGCGTGGAAAAGCCTGATGCTGTCTCCAGGGGGAAAGGAAACACTGCTCAAGGCAGTCTTCCAGGCTATTCCGTCATACATCATGTGCCTCTTCCTCCTTCCTCGTACAATGACAAACAGAATGGATGCAATGCTCAAAAGATTTTTCTTGAGTGGGTCTACCTCCAAAAGATCCATTCACTGGAGGGCAGGAAGAGTTCTTTACGCCCATAAATCTGAAGGAGGATTGGGGTTCCTACCATTCCATATCTTTAACCTTGCTTTGCTAAAAAAGCATGGCACATCCTCACGAACCCAGATGCCCTGTGGGTCAAAGTGTTGAAGGCCCTCTACTTCCCTCGGGTGGACTTCACAAAGGCCAAGAAAGGCAGCTAGGCCTCATGGATTTGGTCAAGCATCTGGGAGGCAAGGAAGTGGATGGAAAAAGGTATTATCAAGGTCAAGTCGGCTTTCTAGATGTTCCACCACCAGTGGCGGAGGGATCGGGGAGAAGAGTTGTACCTCTCTGATACAAGCAAAGAAAGATGGAAATGGCTTTGGGGGCTACACCTGCCCCCGAAAATGAAGTTCTTTATTTGGCGAGCGTCGAGAGGAGCTTTGGCTACTCGACACAACCTTCATGCCCGACGCTGCTTCCCATCCTCGACATGCCCGGTGTGTGACGGAACGACGGAGACTATCCACCACTGCCTTTTCCTCTACCCACACGCGACGAACAGATGGAGTCTTCTTTTCCCGGAGCTCGCTACCCCTCCTCCTCTCACCAATGTGCTGGACTGGCTCTTCTCCCTGTCGAGCACCGTGGCGATCGAGCTTGTTCAGAATTGCATTTACCTGCTGTGGCAAACATGGAAGTCGAGGAATGAAAAGGTGTTTAAGGATAAACCCCCGGGGCCTTTCGCAACGACTTCACGCGCAATGGAGGAGGCTCAGCGATGGAGATCCTGCCCCAAGAAAAGAACTTCCTCGTCTCAACCTCAGCCTGTCTCACCCTCTGAGCCAGCTTTACCACCGCCAAGTACCCATTCTTTTGAAGTACACTGTGATGGATCGTTTCTTCACGATTCCCAGGAGGCGGCATATGGCGTCGTTATTATGAATGACCATGGTCAAGTTGTTGATGGGAAGGCTGAGCCCCTGCACTGCTTCTCTCCTATTGAGGCGGAAGCGAAAGCTCTTCTAGAAGGGACCTTGGCTGCTGTGGAGCTTAATGCCCCATGCCGGGTGCGATCGGACTGCCTGGTTTTGGTGAAGGCTCTCCAAGGACTGCCGAGGCTCTGGCCATGGCGGGCCGCAGCCAGTCTGGGAAGAATCCTGAATCTTACCAGTGTCTGCCCCAACATCAGAATTGAATGGATTAATAGGAAGCGAAACTCTAAAGCAGACTGGGTGGCCAGATCCTGCGCACGGAACCAGCTACCCTCGGAATGGATTCATATTCTTGATGTTGTGTTTCCCCTTCTGTAACTTTGGCTTCCACCTGTTTTGGATTGAAAAGTTGTGCCCCCTTATAAAAAAAAACTTTAACGCAACATAGCAGTAAACTTAAGTGGTACCGAATGCACATATAATAGATCTCAGTGGTACCCAACGTCCTATTAAAATTTAAGTGGTATGTTTATTCGAATTCTCAAATTTAAGTGGTACCCGAGATATTTTACCTACTAATCACCCACCGGAAGAAAACGAACGAGAAAAATCAAAGAAAGTAAGGAAAGCAGAAGGAAACCAGAGAGAACATCACCCCGAAAGTGCTGCTCCACCAAAGTTGCAACCTTTTATGTTTTCTTGAGCTGGAAATCTGAGGCTGCTCTTTCAAGATCCGGCCTTTTCCTTTCGGTTCCCTGAGTTTCTTGGAGTTGGCCACTGTGAAGAGGAAATCTGGGGGTTTCTTTTTGTTTGGATGGGACTTTGCTGGAGTAATCAAATCAAAGCATATAGTCCTTCAAATACAGGTACACTGACATAATAGATTTCTATCGTTGATCTCGTTGGTATTCAGGTTCTCTATTCTACTTTGAATATCTCCTTTCTGCTTTCGTTTGAGATGGTTTCTCGATATATAGGCTAAGCATCCAGTTCGGAAACGGTTTCAACAAATGGGTTTCCATTTGCTAAATTGGGCTGTAGTGTCCCAGTCAGCTAGTAGTTACCTTTTTTAGCGTGTCGGAAGAGGATGTCTTTTTTCTGCCTTGCAGAGGTTCAAGGTTCCAATTTTGATAGGCTGATTTGTGAGAAAAGAGGGGGAATGATGCATTGGTAGTGGGTTTAACCGTGGGACTTACCTTTTTGGGTGCTTCATCTTGTGTAGGGCTGAATTCGAAGGGTGGTAGTAGCAGAGATGGCAGAAATTTGAGCAATTCGAGTAGCAAGGATTCATTACCTCACACTCTTAGGAGTGAAGGTGAGATTCTGCAGACCTCCAACTTAAAAGTCTTCAGCTTTAGTGACCTGAAGTCATCTACCAGAAACTTCAGACCGGATAGTGTGCTTGGAGAAGGTGGGTTCGGATCAGTCTTCAAAGGATGGGTCGACGAGAATTCACTATCTGCTACCAAACCCGGGAGCGGCATTATAATTGCTGTGAAGAGACTGAATCAGGATGGGTTCCAAGGCCACAAAGAATGGCTGGTAAGCAAATGTCTAGTAGATTAACTACAGATGCTGTTTAGAGGCAGGAAGGTTTCATAATTATTGAGAATTTGACTTTTGTTGATTTAAACAGGCGGAAATAAATTATCTTGGGCAGTTACATCATCCAAACCTGGTCAAACTGCTCGGCTACTGCTTGGAGGATGACCATCGTCTTTTGGTTTACGAGTTCTTGTCCCGGGGCAGTTTGGAGAATCATTTATTCAGGAGTGAGTTAGTTGATTGCAGTCTTCGCCATATTATCATCCTAACCAAGTTTTGTTCCCTTTCCTTAGACCACCAAAACTAAGCATTGCATTGTGTTTGCATTGAAGTAGGAGGTTCTCATGTTCATCCCCTTTCTTGGGGCATTAGAATGAGGGTGGCTCTGGGGGCTGCGAGAGGGCTGGCCTTTCTTCACAGCAGTGAAGTACAAGTTATATATCGGGATTTCAAGGCATCTAACATTCTTCTCGACACGGTATGTGAAAGTTCTGTTTCCCCTCTTCTTATCGCATTCATTCAGGTCAGGTGTATTAAGAACTGACTTATTTTGTTTGTGTCTGCACCTTTCTTGGTCCGTGAGTAGAACTACAACTCCAAGCTTTCTGATTTCGGGTTAGCAAGGGATGGTCCAACCGGTGATAAAAGCCATGTCTCTACCAGGGTTATGGGAACTTATGGATATGCAGCACCAGAATATCTAGCAACAGGTAGCTATCTCAATTTGTGTTCTCGCGTCGTTGTGAGAAGTCCTTGTTTTGTTCTTTTACTGATACTAGAAAATTGGCCCGCGCTCTGCGGCGGGTACTGATGAATTAGTATTGAAAATTAATATAGTCCTTAGATGGAGGTGAACATCTTAAGTGGTTTGAGAAGAATTGTGGGTTAACCTGAGACAGGTGTACTAACTGCTGTAATTATCTTCATAATCTCCTTAGAAAATTTGATAGGATTTTGGAATAAATAGTTTAATTTACAATTATACAACATGACTTCAAATTTGAATAGTTGAATGTATGATAATAATTTATGGTATTTCTTAGGCAATTATTGATTCGTGATTTGTAGAGGTGGCAAATCGATTGGATTTATGGATTGGTAGATCTATGGATCAAATGGATTGGTGGATTGATCCATGAATCCAAATAAAATCCAAGTCTTGACCAATATGTAAATTTTGAGAAGTTTATGTGCTAAAATCATATAATAAAAGTTTAGGTACTAAACTGCTATAATAAAAATTTTAAGGTACCAAATCATAATTTTCCAATGATATTTTTGTATAAGAAAATAAATTTAGGTACCAAATTGTAAAATATAAAAACTATAGGTACTAAATTGTAATTTGCTATTTGGATCCGTGCATCAATCCATAATCCACCAATCCAATTGGATTTGGATCAAATGGATTAAATTTAAATGGATTGGATCTCTTGGATATTTAAGTGAATGGATTGATTAAGTGGATGGATTGAATTGGATCATAAATTGCTACTCTAGTGATGTGTGGCAAGATGGTAATGTACTTTAGTAAAATTTAGCTTATAAGTGGTATTTAAACTTTGTACAATATAAACCAAGAAAGAATACATTGTCCTTATACCTGATTTTTACCCTTTTTTATAGGCTCCATATTGGGGTGGTAATGAGGTGGATTTCCATAAAACATCATCATCCTCCTTTTCAAATAGTTAAACTCGTACTCATCCCATACTCATTTGAGGGAAGTTTTTGCAACCCTAACATCATACCCGCAATTTTCTGGTACTTATGTGTAATAGAAGCCTCATATATCCAATATTATTATGCCTAGAATTCAACATGTAGATATTCAATTGTAACACCAAACGGACCTAGTGATCATGAAATCAACAAAATTACAACTATTCTCAATATGAATTCAAAGCATACAATCCTAGAATATACATTAATTCATGAGATACAATACTATCCAAATCATTCATCTCTAACTTCGACATATCAATTAAACAGTAAACTACTGAACAAAAGGAAAAATGTGAAAGTGTAAAGGGAGAATTGATGGAAATAATTACATTTGAACTCTTTATTTTTTTTAAATTACCCTCCCGTCATAAAGAGATTACAATATACTGTTGACAAATTATTTAGAAAGGTTTATGTACTGTTGACAAAATTAATAGACATTGACCTAGGTACTATGATGACCATTTCATATTCTTCACAGCTATACCGTCCATTATACATATACAGTTTACATTTTTATCGCTCTAATGAAAGAAAAGTTTACAAAGACGAAATAAAGGTTTTACTTAATAGCAAACTTATTGTTATTTTAAGTACGGTAATAAATACTCCGTTTAATACATGTATATGTATTCGTATGTATTTTATCCCTTTAAAACTTTTGTATTCGTATTATTGTCAAGTCTTTTCATTTTTTTCGTTCATTAAATGACTCATGTACTAAACACGTAAAAAACCCGTATAACAGGTTTAATATCCGTATTTAATGAATTAAATTGTTTATAATTATTTATATTTTTTTAATAATTAATTTTTGTGTGTATGACTATTAACGAACTATTAAACGTAACATTAACTTAAAAACGAAGTAAAACATCCGTATGTATTTTATACGTAACTTTGACATACCATATTTTACTAAATATGGTTTTTAGGTGTGTATATCAACTACAACCCATAACCTCTTTCATAGCACCGTTTGATTAGGGTACGTCACGGAATGTGGATGGGTTTATTTCTCATGGATCTAGAAGGTGAATCGGAGATCCAGAGTTCTCTCGGAGAATTCGCCAGTAAACAACTTAGCCATCTGCCAGGGAAACAACCGCGCGTGAATAATCAGGAAAAATGAGGGCCTAAATAATTGGGTTCTCTTGAAGTCACTTTGATTTCGTAGACTAGAGAATCATAGATAGAGCCCTGCAATGCAATGAAAGATGGGAGGAATACGTTCGCTTTGCCGGTCCAACTTGGGCAGCCACCAGGGAATCGTCGGCGGGGATGAAAGGGAAAGAAACGGGAGAATCCTCTATACTTTCCTGACGCATCTCCGGCTGCTGCAATCACGGTGGACACAGCGTGCTCCTCCACCAATCTACCACTGGAGCTTGGTTGAATTTTCTAAGGCTGAAGTCTCGGAACGTGAGATATCTGCGGGGACGATGAAGATTGCATGTGAGGCCAAACTTGGTCAGCCTCCAGTCAAACTACGCAGGGAGATCAGAGCTAGGGGAAGAAAGTCGCGAAAAAAATGACGGGACAAAAAAATAGGGAAAAGAGGTGCACGGAGAATTAGAGTGAACCTTATGACATCCAACCAAACCCCTTAAGTGTACTCGCCAATTAATATATCTAATCTTTGCTCTATGATCTGTATTGATGCCAGGTCATCTGACAGCAAAGAGCGACATCTACAGTTTTGGAGTTGTACTTCTGGAGATGCTGTCTGGCCGGAGAGCCATAGACAAAAACCGGCCTTCTGGGCAACACAATCTGGTTGAATGGGCCAGACCTTACTTGATAAACAAACGACGGGTCCTCCGAATAATGGATGCACGTCTAGAGGGCCAGTATGCTCTCCCTCGAGCTCAAAAAGTGGCCAACCTCGCCCTTCAGTGCTTAGCCATGGAACCAAGGTTCAGGCCAAACATGGATGAGGTGGTCACGGTCCTTGAACAGGTGCAAGAGTCCAAGAAGAAAGGTGGCCTAGAGCACCAGCAGCAGCAGCAGGAATCTGATGATAAAGAGAACCGTGAAGTACGACCCTCTTATCCTAGACCTTCTGCCTCCCCACTTTTTGCTTGAGTCCAGTTTTATTGTTCATTCAAGTTGGTTTTGATGGGAGTTTTAGGGAAATGGGTATCGTTGCAGAATGTACAGGGTGTTCTTTTTTATTTTATTTTTATAGTTATTGTTGTTGTCGTTCTTTGTGCATTTCTGGGTGGAGAGGATTTTAGAGATATCCATACTGGACAGAGGATAGAAACAAGGCTTCTGTACCAAGAGTCCGTCCAGATGAACTTGTAATCAGAGACAATAGGTTTGTATGTGAAGAGGGCTTCAGAGGAAGATAGATAACAAGAGAATGATTCTTAATATTCTCTATTTGGCACTTCAGGAGACGAGGAAAGAAATAGAGAGTTGCTCGGAATACAATGCAAAGTATAAGAAAACACAGATCCCAATTGCATAAGATCAAGAACACAGTACGTTAAGCAATCACTTGAAAAAGAAAAACATACAGAGCTAGAAGTTGCTGAATGAGATCAACACAATCTATCATCTATCTATCTACCCAGCAGAGCAACACGATCCTTCTGTATAGCCTGAGAGAGACTGATCTCAAAGAGCTCGCATCTAATCGGCATCTCCATCTCATAGAAAGGGTTCTTCAACACATAATCTGCATACAATTCATACATGTATTTCAACAGATTCTCCATGTGCAGCGTTCCAGGCTCACATACCACAAAGAACTTGGTTCCTGCAACAAAAAGACATTCAAAAGCAGCAAAGTCATTCCCTTTTTCCGCTTCTGGGGATTGAGGTTCACAAGTAACCCAAAAGGCTAAATGCAGGATTGAAAATTTACAGTTTCAAGTTTACCTGTAAGTGACTGGAAGCAATGGAGATCAAAGTTATCGGCTTCAAGGAGGTCGATCCCCGCGCAGCCAAGAACAGGGGACAACTGCTGAGAGATGGCGTGCATCGAATGCCACAAGCTGGCCACTCTCAGGCTATCGTTCGTATCCATCCTTCCAGCCGACCCGTAGTCCTAATCGCAAAGGGTTTCAAATCCATTTTCAAGGACAAAATCCAAAAGCACTGTGGGAAGCGATCCGAGATTAGCCAGTAGACAGATACCTTGTACAAAATCAAGCCGCCGGATTTGTTGATGATGTAGAGATTGTAAATCGCCGCCATTTCTGGGCGCTTCTTCTGAACTCTGAAGTGTTGTTCAACAGTGGAAGGCAAAAGGAACGAGATCGGCGAAATGGGGGAGCGGCTCGGTTTGTTGTTTGCTGGTCAGCCATTTTATTTTTTTTGGATGAATTTGCTGGTCAGCCTTGATGTCTGGGTTTAACTTTATACTAGCGTGGACCCGCCATTTGGCGGTAGGAAGGTGAAGTATGAAATTTGACAATGTAATGAGGTGTATAGCTTATTGTTGTATAGTTTTTTTGGGAAACACGTGATAAAAATAGTGAATTTTAGTAGGAAAGAGACATGAATGATGCAATGAATCAAAAATCAGTCTTATAAACCAAAATCAATTACCTGTTACCTTGTGAAACAATATTGTTTCTGGTAATATGATGAAGTGAAGAAAGTTTTATAGAAACCGAATTCCAGAAAATCAAATAAAAAATCACCTATCCCGCCGATTTTCGGGAAATGAGCATCTCACAATCGTTGCTAGCTTTTACTCGGCCCGTTGGCCGATTAATTTGCTTTATAAAACTTGCATCTTGTCATCATTGTGTTTTTTGGTTTTTTGCCAAGCCATGATAAAATCTAAAGAAATCAAGAATGAACAACACGATTTGGAATAGGAACCACCGTTCCTGTATCCCTAGAAAATGGTGGTAAACACGGACTCACCTGCCAAACTGGTTAGGATTGAGATTTTTATCGGGTATAAGAGAACCATGTGATTATAAATTAGACTTGATCAAAACGGGCAAAAACTTGAAATTCAGCCTGTTTGACCGACCCATGGCAAACTCTAATTATTCTTTACTTTTAAACTTTCTATTTGAAAATAAAAAATAATGAAAGAAAAGAGATGACTGCAATTCGCCATTTGCACATCACTTATTCGGGAATAAAACTATAGAATTTCGAAAGGAAACTGAAATGTTTAGGATCGTTTTAATGTTAAAAATAACCAAATAGATCTTTCTGTTTAGTTTTTTACTAACAAATATCAAACGATTCCCTATAATATACACTATAATTTAATCATTATGATATCAAATAATTACATAATATACATTTGAAATGATAAAAATTGGACTAATTGGGTTGGTCGAGGTTGAACCATTGAATAACTTTAAAATACATTATATTTTAGCCACTAAGATATAAAATAATAGCATAATATATATTATGCTAGAGAAAATAACTTGTTTTCGAATGACAAACCCATGATGTTCATTTGTTTTACTTGATGGCAAATCCCGTGTAGGTCAGGCCCATTCAACTCTTTTATTTTATGATTAGCGGTTAGCCCATTAGAATCCATGCATTAGTTTATTGTTAATTTTTTTTCTTTTTAGGAATAAAAAGGAGTATTGTTTTTGCCTTTTCATATATATTTTACCACCACGGAGAAATAAAAGGACTTAAACAAAAAAATTGACACTCCTGAACCCGTTTAAATCTGCATGTGTACGGTAAGTTGGCCAGTTCTACAGAGGAAAAAGAAAAAAAAAATTGACACTCCCTATTCTACCCTTTCTACAAACGCTCCTAGAGCAGGGAATTTGAAATGAGGGAATGGTTTTTTCCTCTCTGAGATTATATATTTTTAATTTAAAAAATTATAACAAATGTACTTAGTGTGATTGGTTATGATCTTTGCTTTTCTTTAAAGTGGTCATGGTTTGAATCCTAGTAAGTGTCTTTTTAATGAATAAAAAAAAGTAATTGTGAAGACCAAAATGTTCTTCTTACTTTCACTCTGGATGCAAGAAATTTGAAATGGGGCTTCAAGTTTTCTCATTTGGCTTTTATTTATTGTGTAGATAGTTTACTCGTCCGACCCATTGGTCGGATGTATTTTGAATACAATGTATTTACGAATTATATTTTAAACTTTTCGAAAGATTTGAAATGTTTAACTTAATATGATATTTAGGTGATATCAATTTTTTTATTTTATTTTGAAATTTTAATAAAATTTCATAAATAACCGAACATTGTATTCATAATAGTCATATAATTTAAGTAACGTGGGTTGAGCCTAGGTCGATTGGGTTTGGTCATTGGTTTTTATTAATATTTGAAGTGACGTGGCATGTTGACTGGGCAGAAGTAGAGGTTTTTTGGATGGATATGGACGTAATGTCCTTTTCATTATTTTTCTAAATAGGTGCTATTGAAATGTACAAAATTAGATTTGTGACCTTTTCGTACTAAGTGAATAGGTTGTGACCTTTGTGGTAATTATTCTTGTCATTGTTTGAAAAGATCATTATTCAAATCCCGAGACTGTTGTATTTTTCTGATGAATAAACAATAAATAATTATAAATACAAATCTATCTTTCCTACTGTGCTCCTCAAAACATTAAATGCTGGAAAAAAATGATGCTGAAAAAGGCTTCCAATCCTACCATAAGATATTTGCTGATTTTTTTATTAGATTGCTATAACTATTAAAAGAATAAAATAAAACAAAGTGTTCGAGCCACTATACTACTCTCCGCCAAGCGCGCCGTTTCCCTCCAAAGCAAGCGCCCAGACCCTGCAAGACTAGCGCCTAGAGGGCTCGACCCGCCCGTTAGCGCTCCAACGATCAAGTTAGTACCGATTCTAGAGAGATAAGTGCAATAAGTGATCTTAGTGAGAGAAACCGACCTGCTTAAATGCCACCTACCGAGTGCTATTTATACTACTCGAGCTTCCGACCAGGCTCCGACCAACTCCTGCCACCAAGCCTTACGTCAGCAGAGCATTAAATGCCTGGTCTGGTCCAACGTCCGAGCGCCTACACGTGGCGCATCGTCCGGCTCTAGTGTCAGGGCGCATGGGGGGACCATCCGCCTACGTGGTGCTTTCCCGTCCCTTCTCAGCCGTACTTCTTTGTCCACGAGCCTATTTTGTCGTCATGCGCCCCTTTACCGTTGGTGCCACCCAGGTCATGCCCCAATGGGCCATTAACGGGCTTCAAGCCCATCAGGCTTTGGGCTTAGATGGGCTCATCTATGTTTCCCCAACAATTGCCCCCCAGTTATGTGCTCACAGGTGAGTGCCTAACTATGAATGAAATACCTTGGCGCGTGAGACTCTGTTAAAGTACACGTTCATCATTCGCCCTTGCCAGGGCTCTTAGTAAGCGCCTGCCGCCACTTTGCCCCCCACACCAATGTGCCTGTTTGCCTCCACCAATGCTTGACCTCCCCTTCCACGTAGGGCGCTTACCCCCGATCTCACAACTGTGTTCATTGATACAAGCGCATGATTTTTACCCTTCGACCACTACCGTTGAGTTTTACATCCTCCGGGCGCCTGTTTGCGACCTTTTACTTCCCTGAATGAAAATAAGGCGCGCCAGACGCCTGTTTGTGACCTTTTACCTGCTTGAATGAAAATAAGGCGAAACAGGCGCCTGTTTGTGACCTTTTACCTGCTTGAATAAAATCAGGCGCATGACCGTACCTCTCTCCCCCTGGGCGTCCGTTTCAAATTTCAAAATTTCGAATTCAAATTTCAAATTTCGAAACGAACAGCGAGGATCTAGCCGTGGAGCGTGTGTGCATCTCGAGGTCCCTCTTCCCTCTTATAAATACAAACCTTCTTCCCCTCTCCTCCTCATTTACGCCGAATTTGCTTCTCTCTCTTCGCGCTCTGCTTCTCCTTTGTCTGTGCGCCTCCTTTCCCAAAGCGATTTCAGTCTGAGCGACTTCTTCACCAAACATGTCTCAATCTGATTCCGGCGCAACCAACACCACCATCGAGAAGGGGGGAAACGCCGAGCTCGACGTAATTAAGGTGCTCGAGGGGCATCTGTCCCCGGACTCTCTTCGGGATCACAAACCGCGGGTGCCTCGCTCTAAGAAGGAGGCGCCTAGGAAGGCGACATCTGGCCCATCCCCATCTGAGCTCACCAAAACAGAGGCGCCAACGACCACGAAAGCATCGAAGGCGCCCGCCGTTGCCAAGGCCTCAAAGACGCCTGAAACCTCTGCTCAAGCGCCCTGCACCACCAACCAGAGTAATTTTCCTTGTCCCTTTCTTCTCTGAACTTTTTGTATTTGCTTTGATCCGTTGCTAGGCGCCTACTAGCGGTCTTAGGCTCGTATTATTGACCAAGGACGGTTGGATAACTTTTAGGCTCCGCGCCTATCTCGTCAGAGTCAAGTGAATTGGCGATTTCTCCGGCATCCACTGATTCAGGCGCCCCTAAAGACGGGTCTTTCAAGATAATAGATTGGGAAGGCACATGGCCCCAAGGGGGAGCGCCTGAGAGCACCAGCCAGTTATCTGTGGCCAAAGCCGGGCCGAAACATGTGTCTACTGTCAAGATAGCTGAACTGCATCGGCTGATTACTTCGTGCAACATGCCTCGCACCTGGGCTTATGCGCCTGCCTCCCCGGTTGCAAGGGTGGGGGTGGTTGGCCCGCGCTGGCTTGGTATATACAGGGAATATTTCAGGTTCGGGTTGCGCTTCCCCCTGGATTCAATCTTAGAAGGGATTCTGGAGACATGCGCCTATTCACTTGGGCGCCTATCGCCCTCAGTTTTCTTAATACATATCTTGTTCAGGCTGAAGTGTTGTCAAAACAATATCGTGCCCACGTTCAAGCTTTTCCGATATTTTTTTACGATGACCAGCAGTGACAACTGCTTGTCCTTATAGAGGCGCCTAGACCTTCCTAGACATTTTGTAGAGGATTGTCCGAAGTTGGGGCGGGAATGGTATATGGCCTACTTCTTCATTAAGGCGCGCACGAATTCGTTTTATGAGAGTGGCGCTTGCTTCACCCGGCGTTGAAAAGTTGGCAGTACCGCGGCATTCAACGTTGACGTGGATTTAACTAGTGTTGAGAAGGAGCACGCACGCCTGCTTTCCCTTCACCCGGTGAACTTAAGTTCCACAGCCGCTCGAACCCCTGTGCTGCATGAGTATTATGTCGATGGTGGGTAGGCGCCTAGTAGCGTATTTGTGTCGCTGCAAATTACACGCGCCTATGTTACTTTTTCTATGCATGAAATTATTCTAACTTTGTTGAATCGTGTATTTTCCGTCGCAGGCGTGGACTTCACCTCTATCGCCTCGCTGATGAAGACCCAGCTTGACAACATGGGTCTAAATTACCAAGCGCGTGTTTTCCAAGGCAAGGCGCCCTCTCGCCCGAAGAAAGGCGCTTCCAAGAAAGGAAAGAGCAAGCCATCCTCCACCGGAACAGAGGCTCGGGGCGAAGCCAATGCGCGTGCTCCCTCGACAAGCAAAGGAAAGGGGCGCTCGAGCCCGCGGAGCATCAAGCCTCAGAGAGTGCCCATCGCCCCTCTCGTGGAGGAAGAGAGTGCGCCTGTTAGTTTCCAACCGGAGGAGGGCCGAAGGTGATGTTCCATCCGATCCCTAATTGGATATTGACGACATCACCCTTGGGAAAAAACTCAAGAGGAAGGCCGAAGGTGATGCATCAGCGCATGGCAAGAAGCAGCGCATAGGCGCGGAGGCACAAGTTCCTGAATTTGTGGAAAAGTAGCTCCAACCGCCCATGCACAGGGTCGATGTTTCATGTTCGGACAGATCTGCGTTGGAGCGGGGTCCGGCGCTTGGCTTTGCTTTTCAAGCAGCCGAGGTACTGCGGGCGCCCAGTGACGTTCGAGGGCAGAACCTGTGGGGAGAGGTGGCGCGCATAGCCGCCATGGTATGCGCCTATTTTGCTATTTACCTTATGATTTGTGCACATATATGCACCTATTTTGCTACTGACAGACTTGTGATTTTTGTTTCTGCTTAGATGCTCTTGCTTGCCAAGAATGGCGCCTTGGCCCATGAGGCGCTGCGCGTTGGGGAAGCGGAAGCCTCCTCCTCCCTTGGTGTGATGCGGGATGACTTGGAGACGGCGCAGAGGCGCCAAGCAGAGTTGGTACAGGCGTGCGAGGATGCGAATATTGAGGTTGAAAAGGCTGCATCCCTCGTCCAACAGACAATGGACGAAGAAAAGAAGAAATTGAAGTTGGAGTACGAAGCCCAGCTCGAGATCGTCAAGAGGGCGCATCACGAGGAGATGGCCAGACTTGTGAAGGAAAAGGCCGACTTAGACAAGGAGGTCGGCGCCCAAAGGAGTGAAATCGACCTCCTTATTGAAAAGAAGAAGGCTCCGCAAAAGGAGAAGAAGATTCTGGCTCGAGAAAGCAAGAGGTGCCAGGAGGAGTTGGAGTCGCTCAAGAGTGAAAAGGCTACATCAGAGGCGCTTGTCTCGGATTTGGCGCTCAAGGCCCAGGCGTCGCTCAACAACATTCTCATTATAAAGAGGAAGTTGGAGGCTGACCATCCCACTATCAACTGGGATGTCAAGGAAATGACCAACTTTGTTATCGACTTCATGGCCAGCGGGCGCCCCGTCGTCGATACTGCTCCTGCGCCTCCCGAGGATCCAGCGGATGAAGCAAATTCTGGGTCAAGCTCGGAGTTCAGCGATGACTCAGCTGGAAATGAATAGGATTACTTCACTTTATGCCTGATTGTGAACACTTGGGCGCCTGTTGTTTACGTGTTCAAATGTTTTGTTGCACTTTTATTTTAGTGACTGTTTTTTACTTTGCTCCCAGAACAAGATAACAGGCGCCTTGACCTTTTCGACGTTTGACTTTCGTGTCTTGTTCAATTTTTTGCTAAGTCATGAATAGTATAATGCTCAGGGCGCTATGTGGGGCGCATTAGGGGCACATAGATTTGGTGCTACGGGCATGTACAACGTTTTGGTGTTAGGACGCTTTATGTGTATCGGGCGCATTAAGGGCACAATAACTTGGTGCTATAGGCGAGCTGAATAAGTATATATGCATATATAATCCATTTCAAAAAAAATCCTTGGGGCGCTATTACCGGGTGCTTTAAGTATCCCGGCGCTAAAGGGCGCTTTACACAAACACTTCGGGCGCATACGGGCGCTTTACACAAATGCTACGGGCCCATAATGGCGCTTTACACTACACCTACCAAAAAAGACACCCCAAGGTTTAGCGCCTCCTCTTGCAATTACCACCCGCTAGGCGCCCCTTATGGCACCCTGTCCTCTTCTCCTGCCATATCAGCCTCCACAAACCCATACTTTCGCAGGTTCTGCGCGTTCCAAGTTCTCTTTACCCTTTTGCCCGATAAATGTTCCAACTTAAACGTGCCCGGGCCAACTACCTCTTGCACACGATATGGCCCCTTCCACTTTGGTGCCATCTTTCCATCAGTGGCCTTTGGGCAAAAATCACGCTTCAGCGCAAGCTCCCCGCTACAATGTTATGCGGACGCATCTTCTTGTTGTAATACCTGGCCACCTGTGATTTCATCGCTTCCAGGCGCAGAGCTGCCCTCTCTCAGCGCTCATCAAGGAGATCAAGCTCATAGATCCGCTCCTGATCCTCCATAGACTCCTCCTTATGCGCCATTCGAAAGGTCGGGATGCGAACTTCTAACGGTAACACCGCTTCGCTTCCATACGTCAGCGCAAAGGGTGTTTCACCTGTTGCCACTTTGAAGGTGGTTCTATGCGCCCACAACACGCTTGGCAGCTCCTCTACCCAGTTTCCCTTAGCTTCTTCGAGCCTGGTGTGTAGCCCATGCAATATACTTTTGTTGGCTGCTTCAGCTTGTCCATTTGCTTGCGGATAAGCTACAGAAGAAAACCTCAGGACTACTCCATTTTCATCGTAGAAGTCAATGAACTTTTTGCAATCAAACTGCTTTCCGTGGTCGGTGATGATCGACTCCGGCAGCCCGAACCTTGTAAAGATGTTCTTTCTTGTAAACTTTCGCACTTGCACTTCCGTGATGGACGCGAGTGGTTCTGCCTCAATCCTCTTGGTGAAATAATCGATGGCAATGATTAAGTACTTGAATTGTCAAGGCGCCTTGGGCAAGGGCCCAAGGAGGTCCATCCCCCACTGAGCAAAAGGCCAGGCGCCTACGTTTCCTTGCATGGGCGCCGCTGGTATATGTATATCATTGGCATGGATTTGACACTGGTGGCACGTGGCCACGTGCTTTCCAGCGTCAGCCCTCATTGTCGGCCAATAATATCCTTGTCTAAGCAATACCTTCTCCAGACTGCGAGCACCTTTGTGCATTCCACACGTTCATTGATGCACTTCCGCGATGGCCTTTTTTCCTTCAGCTTCGGTGAGGCAACGTAGATAGGCGCCCGAGTGGGATCTCTTGTATAGCACTCCCTCCCTAACAACACATCGGGCTGCTTTCTTTCGTAAACGCCAAGCCTCTTTCGGATCTTCCGGGACCATGCCCTGCGTTAGGAAAAGAATGATAGGTGCCATCCCTCCTTCCATCGTTCCCATAGAGATAGACGCCATCACTCTCTCCTCACGCGGGGCTTCCTTGGTGACAATCACTTTTCTATCTTCTCCAAAATCCAACGCCGTGGCCAATTTAGACAGGGCGTCTGCATGGGCGTTCTCCTCCCTTGGAACATGTGTGAACGTAGCCTCTCGAAACCACGCGCACCTTTCTCGTACTGAGTGAACGTATGCTCCTAGCGCCTCCTCCTTCACCTCATACACATTATTCAACTGGTTGACCACGAGCGCCGAATCAGTTTGAACATTGACCTTCTGGGCGCCTAGCTCCCTTGCCATGTGGAGTCCTGCGAAGACTGCCTCATATTCCGCCGCATTGTTCGTTTTGAGAGTTGCAAAGCGCAAGGCGACCTCATGCATAGCGCCCAGTGCGCTAATTAGGAAAATTCCGGCTCCCGCGCCTGCCCGGCTTGCTGCTCTATCCACTTGGATTTGCCAACATTCTTCCGCGCCACTTCCCACGTCGACCACTCCTTCGACCACAAAATTAGCCAACACTTGTGCTTTGATGGCTGGCCTGGGCGCATAGCTTACATCGAACTCACTGAGTTGGACAACCCACTTTACCAGGCTCCCGGACACATCCATGGAACCCAGGACCGTTCGGAGAGGCAGATTCGTGAGCACCACAATACTATGAGCTTGGAAATAAGGTCGAAGCTTGTTCGGCGCCATTACCACTGCCAGTGTCGCCTTCTCGATGGGCGCATATCTCATTTCATGCCCCACCATTGTACGACTTACATAATAAACCGGTCTTTCTTCATTTGTTGACGGGTCCATGGATACCAATACCGCGCTCACAGCAATCCGAGAGACTGCAATGTACAAGTATAGCGTTTCCTTGGCCTTGGGAGCGGTCATTACCGTGGGCGCTGTAAAGGGGGCGCCCCTATCAGAGGCTCTTGGAATGAAGCGCCCAAGCGCTGGCAACCTTCCTGTCAACCCTTGCACCTCCTTCGGCGTTCGGGGGGGGGGGGGGGGGTGCTAACTTCATAATTGCCTCAATTTGCTTGGGGTTGGCCTCAATTCCTCTCCTTGTAATCATGAAGCCCAAAAATTTACCAGCCTCTGGTACGAACACGCACTTCTTCGGATTAAGTCGCAGCTGAAATAGGCGCATAGTCTCGAATGTCTCCCGCAAATCCATGATGTGATCTTGGAGCCTCTTGCTCTTTACAATCAAATCGTCAACATATGCTTCCACGTTCCGTCCCAACTGTCCACGGAAGAATTGATTTACCATGCGCTGGTAGGTTGCGCCTGCGTTCTTTAACCCAAACGCCATCACTTTATAGCAGAAGTTGCCAAATGGTGTCATGAAAGAGGTCTTTGCCCTATCTTCCTCCACCATGGGGATCTGATGATACCCTGAAAACATGTCAAGGAAGCTAAGCGCCTCATGGTAAGCCGTAGCGTCCACAAGCAGGTCAATGCGCGACATTGGGTAGGCATCAGTTGGACACGCCCGGTTAAGGTTGGTAAAATCCACGCACATTCTTCAATCCCCCAACGGCTTTGGGACGAACACAACATTTGATAGCCATGTGATGTATCTGGCCTCCTCGACGAATCCGGCCTCGAGCAACTTATCAACTTCCTTCCGTAGGGCTTCCTCCTTTTCGAGAGTCAAATTTCGTCGCTTCAGTTGAACAGGCTTCTTACCCTCTTCGACAGCCAATCGATGCGCCGCTACGTCCGGAGACACTCCTGGCATGTCTTGTGGGCTCCACGCAAAAAGTTCCGCGAACTCCCTCAATAAACTTATCAAGGGTGCCCTCTTCGGGGGCTTGTGCCGACACTCGTACCTGCCTGTCGGGGCGCCCTTCTTCGATCTGCACACATAGCTCATCGTCGACAGGCTCTGCTCTAGGCGCCTCCTCCGGGCAAATGTCTATGTTGTTCACCCTATGCCTCCTGGCGCTCCTCCTCCTCACCTCCTCCTCTCGAGCGTAGCGGGGGGCGTTCTCCCCTCGCGAGATTCCTATGCCTTGTGGTGCAACAAACTTCAACGTTTGGTGACAAGTGGAGGCCACCCCATTGAATAACGCCAAAAGGGGCCTTCCCAGTATGACATTATATGGTGAGGGGCAATCCACTATCCCAAATTCCACCGCATGCGTCACCCGATGCATTCCATCACCCAACGTTACTGGGAGGTGCACGCGCCCAATCACATGGGCAGGCGCCCCTGAGAACCCTATCAGCACTAAGTCGGAGGGGCTCACTAACTCAGGCGCCAACTGCATGCGCTCAAACGTGCTCTTGAAAAAGACGTCCATAGAACTTCCAGTGTCAACCAATATCCTCTTGATTTTGCACCCTGCAATGACACTTTGTATCTCCAAAGCCTCCTCCGAAGGTACTTGACAAGCCTCATCCGGCTCCTGATTGAAGCATATCTGGACTGCTGCCTTCGCCTGGTTCGATCCAACTTATCACGCAGGTCGATGGTCCCAGTTATGGATTCCACCGTGAGCCTAACCCGGCTAGGCTCTCCCTCTTGGTTCACCTCGAAAGGGGGCGGGAGCATCTCGAACTGGGGTGGGAGCGCCTCAGGCGCCTGTTGCGTGGTGGGTAGGATGGGCGCCCTCGGCACAGCTGGAGGAATAGGCGACGGCCTTGTTTCCCTCGTGACATACGTGCGATGAGTCCTTTCTTCCGTCTTCCTTACAAAGTCATTGAGCATCCCCCGGTCGGCCAAAGTCTGCAGCTCCGACTTTAGTTGATAGCAATCGGTCGTGTGGTGTCCTTTGTCCTGGTGGAAATCACAATAGCGGTCAAGGTTCCGCTCATTTGGCTGTCCACGCATCGGTCCCGGCCAACGCACATGGTACCCCCTATCCTTCACATATTGCAGAATGTTCTTCAAGGAATCATTGTACTTCGTAAAATTTTCCGCACTCCTGGGCGGGGGGCGCTGACCCTCCGGTCTCCTCTGTGGAGCGTTGTTCATAATGAAAGGTCTAGGCGCCTGGCGCCCTTCCATCTCGTCCCTACTCACGCGCCTCTTTTCTGTCCTTCTTGCGGCCAACATCTCCTCTAGAGCGATAACCTTCTGAACTCTCCATTCAAATCCTCGGTTGACACGACAACTCTCTTGGACAGCACACGGCACAGCTCCTCACTATTCGTACATTCCTCAAGACACAGTCCCAGGACTGGCGGTTGCACATCCTTTACGGCCATGGAGACCGAGATCCACCGATCATAGAATTCTCTAAGCGCCTCCCCCTCCCTCTGCTTGATTTTAAACAGGGCGCCTATAGTCAACGTCCGCCGCTTTCGGCTCGCAAATTTGGACAAGAACAACTCCGCAAATTGTTCAAAGCATTCAATGCGCCCCTCCTCTAACTGATGATACCAATCTAGGACAACCCCTGCAAACGTCGAGGGAAACACCTTGCACAATGTGGCGTCTGAACTGTTATACAGCTGCATCTTCGTGAAATAGCTATTCAGGTGATCTTCCGGGTCGGTGACCCCGTCATAGCTGGACAACGGGGGAAGGGTAGTTCCTGCTGGCTCTGTTAGGACGCTCTGTGCCAGGGGTTGCCTGCCCCCAAAGCGCCTGGTCTAACGTCTAGGCGTCCACGGATTATGTTCCTCTGATCCTGGGGTGACAAGATCATTAGGCGCCCTCCACATACCCGGGCGCCTGGGTGGTGTCATTTCCCCATTTAGCCCTTCATAGTGTGGGCGCCAGTACTCACCAGCCTCCGAATCATCTACCAGCCTATCTCGTTTCCTCACCGGGGGGATGTACTCCCTCGCATCAACACTCCTTCCTCCCTCTAACTCCCTTCGAAGCATGGCTATTGCCTTGTCTTGGTCAGCAATGATCTTCAACAGCCCTCTCTTCGACAATGCATCGCTTTCGACTGATTGGCGCTCACGGCTATCCTCCTCCTCTACCTCCATGCTCACCACCGGGCTAGACTGCTGCCCGCTCTCCTCTTGACTGGAATCCTCAGTTCTTGAACCGTCAGCGCCTGCATTTCCCTCGTTCAAATCTTCCATACGTCTATATCGCCCCCCCTACCTGGCGCGCCAATTGTTCGAGCCACAATACTACTCTCCGCCAAGCGCGCCGTTTCCCTCCAAAGCAGGCGCCCAGACCCTTCAAGACTAGCGCCTAGAGGGCTCGACCCGCCTGTTAGCACTCCAACGATCAAGTAAGTAGCGATTCTAGAGAGATAAGTGCAATAAGTGACCTTAGTGAGAGAAACCGACCTGCTTAAATGCCACCTACCGAGTGCTATTTATACTACTCGAGCTTCCGACCAGGCTCCGACCAATTCCTGCCACCAAGCCTTACGTCAGCCGAGCATTAAATGCCTGGTCTGGTCCAACGTCCGAGCGCCTACATGTGGCGCATCGTTCAGCTCTAGTGTCAGGGTGCATGGGGGGACCATCCGCCTACGTGGTGCTTTCCCGGCCCTTCTCAGCCGTACTTCTTTGTCCACGAGCCTATTTTGTCGTCTTGCGCCCCTTTACCGTTGGTGCCACCCAGGTCATGCCCCAATGGGCCATTAATGGGCTTCAAGCCCATCAGGCTTTGGGCTTAGATGGGCTCATCTATGTTTCCCCAACACAAAGGCTAAGGTGAAATTTCAATGATCCCCAATATTCTTTTTCTGTCATATAAAATACTAAAAGATCCAACAACCAAATGAAAATAGTTACGACAGCTAAGCATTTATGGGCCTAAGTTAGAATTGGATTCAGATTAGTAGATCCCCGGCCCAAATTTGGCAGGCGACGGAAATTAAGGCGCTGAAATAGAACCGAGCAAAATTACCATTCAGTGTCACCGAAATTTGCTCTCTCATCAGCAATTTTGAAATGTTGTACAACTGTTCCCCGCTCTACTATAATATATTTGTAGATACTCTTGTTTTTATCAGTGGTCACTCTCCGATCCGTCAAGGTTGTCAAACCGGTTTAATTCATTGAGCCAATCAAGTAAGGGGTTGTTTGAGGTTTAATGGTCTGATCGGGGTCCATTCGGTTTGGTCGTTGTAGACGTTTTCTAAATATATATAGAAATAAGGTAATAATTAAAGATTTAATGACTAAAATAAAATTTATATTACATGTTATTACAAGTATGTATTAAACACTTATTTTCCACAGGTGAAATCTACCTAACCTGCATGACCCACCCACCATCTCACTTCTTTCGTTCCTCTACCTCTCTTCCCCCTCTTTAGGGGTCAGATCGGGGGGGGGGGGGGGGGGGGGGGGAGCTTTCTGGAGGTCATTTTGAAGTCCGATTAAGGCAGGACCAGGTCCAACCAGGGTCCGATAGGGGTTTGACAACCTTGCTCTCCGTACATTTTTGTTACCTTTAGCTTGCATAATAGACTACTTTCGTAGTTGATCGTGACGCGATAATTAAAAAATTTTCAATTTTTACATTTCACCTCATTATTGCCACCATTTAAACATAAAATAAAAATAATTTCTTTTAATCATGGATCTCTTCTTCTCCAGGTTGAATAGGAACAAATTTTGCAAGTTCCCTCTCACCGCGGACTCGTCAGAAGCAATTCCCGAAAATCTTTGGCTGGCGGCGGTGGTAGAACTCTACTTGTTGCATCTTGGCCCCCTCATCACCAGACTTGATAGGTATTTCAGGGTGGACCTCACCCGTTGCACAGAGATGGGTAGGACTGAGATCTTTCCGGGGAAGACACTCCACCATATGAGAGTGATTCGAGTCGAGCAAGGCATTGAGTACATCGATGGCCTCCGACACTCCACCACACCACGCCGTCATGTTCACCGCAGGACTTCATCATCTTTAGCTGGAGCCGGCCCTTCTTCTTCCTCCGACAACCTTGAGACCCGAGTCTCGGCCCTTAAGGACAAATTTGTTAGGGTATCGAGGTTCTCGACCTAGAGACATTCACAGTGCTTGGTGGAGGCGCTCGCCCGTGCTTAGGGTATCGAGGTTCTGGACGAGTGGTAGCTATCTCCACCTCGTCGCCAGGAGTAGTCACAAGTTTTGCCATGTTGGCACCGTTGTACCTCTACCTTCTCTCTCCACCCTTTGACTCTACACTCTTTGTTCATTCTTTATGTGTGTTGAATTTGTAGTACTATTGTGTTTGTTTTTATTTTGTGTCTGTAAGAAACACGGATCTTGGTGCGTTCGGCTAGGGTTAGAAAATTGGGAATTGCTAGAGAATTGGAGGATAAGATAATAGAATTAGGGATTTGATTGAGGAAGAAGATCGATTGGAAGCAGAAGGAAATTCGGTCACCCCTAGAATTAATGTTTGGCATGGCACCATGTAGTTGTAAGTGATTTGTGGTGAGCATTGGTTTTGAGGACTTGAATAAAAATGTTAATATGAATGCAGATGATGGAACTTATGCAATAAAAAATTCTTATTCAGAGCAATGAGCAGTTTGAATTGGTGCAAGAAGAGATTCATGTTTGATCATTGTTTAGCCACCCAAATCTTCCTCCTATTATGGATCATGCTATTATTGATGTTAAGTTGATTCACCCTCTTGGCTTCTTGGGATAACCTAGGTAACTACCTCCTCTCGTCCTCCCGATCTCTTGACTTGCATTAAATTTGTAAGCCAATTCCTTTTCGCTTTGTGTTTCTTTCCTTTCTCACCATTCGAACAAATACGGAATTCATAGTTTTCTAGTATTAAGTTAATTATGCAATAGGGTACTGATCAAGCTGTTTCATTGTAGATCCGATCATGAACCTTGAGTTAATTTGCTTTATGGGTTCATTTCCTTTTAGAGTAGTTGGCATGGAATCTTTGCACGTTACTCGAGCTATAGGCAGTTTAGGTGTGTTTAGTGTTCACAAGTGTAGTGTCGATACCTATATTTGTCCCGGTCCTCAAATCTCATTTTCGAGTAAACTTCAATTCTAATCCGGGGAAGGATTATTTCTTTGTTAGATTTGAGAATTCCTTTGGTCTTTTGTTTGAGGGAATTGAGTTGACTATTAATCACCCATTCAACAAACACATTTCATTACTTTGGAGGACTTATTGTCCATCTTGATACAGAATCGGGATCCAAGCCTAATCCAAAAACTAAAGTCCCATTCCATTACACTAACCCCCCAACCCCCCCCCCCCCCCCCCAAAAAAAAAAGAGAACAACCACAACACTTGGACCTAACCGAATTGATCTTTTTGCCCACATAACAATTTTCAGTCCATTCGGCCGAAATTGACCTGTCGATCCCAACCGACCAGATCTGCCCCTCTTTCACCCCTCCATCCCTCATTTGTTTCCTACAAAAACACAGGAAAATGAAGAAGCTCCATGCTTGATTGAGCTATGCAAATCGAAACATTAAAGATAGAGAGGAAGAGAAACTGAATTTGGGCACAAAAAATTGATTGCAGAGATGGGAGTAGGTTGAAGTGATTGAAAGGTGGGTGTATAATGGTCTTCGATTTCACTATAAGAAGAGGCAACAAAGTTAGAAAAAAGGAGGAGGGAAATCGACAATTTTGCTCAATCTTTGCTTGCAATTCTATTCCACTAACAATAAAACTCTTTTTTCTGAAAATTACCAAAAATATCAATTCTTTCATCCCATCATAATTACATGTTAATGAACAGGTAATATTATTTTACAAATGATATCACATATTTGAAGTAAATCCAAATAATTTCAAACAATCAAATATCAGATAAAAAGATAAATCAAACTAATAGTAAGAACATAGGGCAATGTAAGGGTGCTAATACTTTCCATACTTGTAACCAACCCCCGAACCCATAAATCTATTTCGTAGACCGAGCCAAGTTTAAATCTTGACTGATTTAAGCTTGGTTTTTCAAGTGTCCAATCCACTTTAAGTGCTTTGTGGCGACTCCTCTATTTCGTGCCGCGTCGCGGACAGACCGTTTGCGACAGTAGGTGACTCCGTTAGGGACACATGTTTAACTTTACCTACGTGGGTCAGACTATGTTTGATTTGTCTTTAATTTTGTTGTTTGAAATGATTTGCTTATTCACTATCGATATATGATGATGTTCATGCATAAAGCTTTATACCCGAGCTACACCATTACTAGGACCCTTGGACAGAGTAGTGTATGCCTTTACGACGGTAAGGGTGCACGAAATCCTCCAGCCTGAATTGAACCAAATCCTATACAGCCGAGAGGCTATTAGATGAGGTTACGTTTTACTAGCTCAAGGGAGCGCCAGTGAAGTACACCTCGGGTTCCCTTAAATGATCCAAACCTAGATCCTGTTGGAAATTTGGTTGAACCGGACTAACCAAGTCAAACTGGTTTTGGGTAGGACCGACCAACCGGTTTGGGATTAGACCGACCGAACCAATATTCTAATTCAGTGAAGGGACACATCCCTTTGGCCTAGTGGCGGTTGCATTATTTTATGGATAAGGATAACCTTATGGATAAAGACAGCCCTTCATATGGATAAGGATAACCTTTCATATGGATAGAGGCAACCTTTCATATGGATAAAAGGCAACCATTCATGAAACAATGCATGGATTCGGCCCCTATAAATATATGGGTGGGGTGGATGGTGCCATATACCATTAAACATTATCTTCTTCTTTCTTCCAAAAATTTCTAAGTATACTCTAGTGTTCTTGAGCCTGGAACCTAAAGTGGTGATAGTTTTATCCTCGAGAGAAATTTGCTGTAACCCAAGGCTTTGTAGAGGGTGGAAATATTCTTTTCGGAAAGTGAACGTAGTTCATGACTCTATCATAATCCTGGTCACCCGGTCTCGGGCTATCGTACACATACCTTTGTCCCTAAAAGTCCCAACAATCGAAAATAATAGTTTTCAGGTACGATGGCTTGAACCGCTTTTTACAAGAAACCGGTTCTGGTCTATGGAATTATGAGAATGTTCGATGATGGGTTTTTCATCGATGGCAGTAGAAGATGGTTTTCTTCGTACTTGTCTCATGGTGTATTCCATATCCGGAAGGTAACTTGGAAGAGGGATGATTCGAAGATGAGGAAGAAGGAAAATGATTCGTAAAATGGAGAAATAGAAGAATGAAAATTGTCTTTGGGTAGGTCACATACTCAATGGTTAATTAGTCTAATTCTCTATTCGACATTTACGAAGTTCTAGATAAACTTGGATTTGTCTAGTGGTTTGGTGGTGTGATTTTGTCTAGTGGTTTATGTTATTTTAAACCAAGGAGACAAAATTGTATATACAATGTTTGATGATTCTGGTAATAGAGTCGTTGTGTTTGTATGTAGATGACATATTTATCTTTGAGACCAATCAAAGATAAGTGATTTTGTCAAGTGGTTTATATTATTTTAAACCAAAGAGACAAAATGTGTACACAATGTATGATGATTCTGGTAATGAAGTCATCGTACATTTGTATGTATAAGATATGCTTATCTTTGGAACCAATAAAAGATAAGTGAATTTTGATAAAAAGTTGTTATTTCAATTCTCCATGTAGGACATGGGGTAGGCAAATGTGATTCTGTGTATTGAATCAAGCGGAACGACAAAGAAGAGTCCTTCTCTCAATTTTTCTGCATGAGAAGGTACTTGCATAAATTCCATAGTAGGAATTGTAGTGAGTTAAAGACCCCAATGGATCCAAGTATGGAACTTATGGTTAATACTGGAAATCAGTTTTACAACTGGAGATGTATGCATGACTGACTTGATGCTAGATATCGCATATGCGATAGAACAATTAAGTTGGTACGTGATGAATCCTAGTTCTCATCATTTGAAATGAAATGAGGCGTGTACTAGGATATGTCAAAGGCACACTGTATTGACTTATAGTGGCTTTCCATCAATTTTGGAAAGGATTTGTTGATGTTAGTTGGATTTCTCATGTTAAAGGTGATACTTCAACATTGAGATGAGTCCTCTTGCTTGGGAGAGGTGCCATAATTTGGGCCTCTAGAAAGCAAACTTGCATCACTAAGTTTCACTATGGAATCAAAGTTTGTGTGGCCTTGATTTCTCTTAGAGAAGAGACATAATTGTTGAGAGGTTTGGTTTATGACATATATTTATGGCCTAAACCAATCTCACCTATTACTATGTTTTGTGATAGTAATGCTAATTTGGCTAAGGCATATAGTCAAGTGAAAATGATAAGTACGGTCATATGGGAGTATGGCACGATGAAAGCTGTGAACTGATCATTCATAGTGTTGTGTCTAGACAGTATGACTAAACTCGAATTAATTTGGTTGATCATTTGACGAAGTGGTTAACTAGTGACTTGGTGATTAAGTCTGTGAAAGGGATGGATTAAAGTCCATATAATTTCTGGTAATGGGACACCCAATTCCCCTCTAATACAACGTTAGAGGCTGAATTCAATGTGGAAAGCTTATTATCAGAAATTGAAGCACAAAATTTGTCATCCCGAGGTATGTGCTTGTTATCTGCATGAGAGAAGAGGATGAAGTTCAAAACTTCTTCATTGAATTTTTGACAAAGTGTATTATGCGGGTACACGAATAAAAGATTCGACCTACGTAAGCATGAAGTGTAGCCGCTTCAAGAAACCCGGACTTTGGTTTCGTGTGCACTTATGAGAAGGATTGGACACATGGCGGATAATAGTATCAAGGCACTTAGAAGTTTTGAAAACTTAAGTGTATATTATCTTCGAATATTCATATGAGTCAATGGGTTCAATTGTTACCGACACCCTTTGTATTCGAGTATTCGTCAAGTGTAATATACTAAGGTGAAAATTCAATCGTCACGACATTTTCATTTAGGCTTAAGTTTTGTTGGAAGAATGTTGTGATTTTAGGGAATTCCAAGAATACACTAAAATGGCGGAGGAATGTTGAAAATTTGGTTGAACCGGACTAACCAAGTCAAATCGGTTTTGGGTTGGACCGACCAACCGGTTTGGGATTATACCGACCAAACCAATATTCTAATTCCGTGAAGGGACACATCCCTTTGGCCTAGTGGCGGTTGCATTATTTTATGGACAAGGATAACCTTATGGATAAAGGCAACCCTTCATATGGATAAGGATAACCTTTCATATGGATAGAGGCAATCTTTCATGAAACAATGCATGGATTCGGCCCCTATAAATATATGGGTGGGGTGGATGGTGCCATATACCATCAAACATATTCTTCTTCTTTCTTCCAAAAATTTCTAAGTATGCTCTAGTGTTCTTGAGCCTGGAACCTAAAGTGGTGATAGTTTTATCCTCGGGAGAAATTTCCTGTAACCCAAGGCTTTATAGAGGGTGAAAATATTCTTTTCGGAAAGTGAACGTATTTCACGACTCTATCATAATCCTGGTCACCCGGTCTCGGGCTATCGTACCAATACCTTTGTCCCTAAAAGTCCCAATAGATC